AAGGGAATTGTAGTTACCTCCTTTCCCAAGGCTACATCACTGGGCGGTAGCCCCAGTTGGTGCACACCAAAAGGAGAATTCTAAAAGGAGTTCTACGCAAAAATACTCTGGACGCAAGTGAAAATTGTGATTTCCATTTTTCTAAGGGGTCCCTAGGGAACCATCGGCAATAACTCTTAAATTAATCAAAAATCTTATTTTCCGGTCTCCGATTGATATAATTCGCGTTAAAACGCGTCGATTGATACCCCTCTTGATTTTGTTTTGGTAAAATTTGGCCTGGTTCCGCTGAAGTGCACTTTTACCCCACGACCCCTCCCAACACCATCGTCACTAAATCGTTGTACAAATAAGCGAACATTTCCCGCAACAATCGCCTTGTACGAACGGCCTTTCAACTAATAACTTCCAATGAAGTTGGGGTGCATGCGAACTTCGTATTAGACTGATGCTTTCGATTGACGCATTTCTGAACACAGGCTATGTCCCGTTGCACCCAAACGGTATGCACGCGTACATACGTTTGAATATATGTAGAGGCAATCAGCCTGCGAGATGCGACTCTATTTAGTCTACTTACCGCGACCACTAGTGGATGCATCGTCTAAGTTCTCCATTACTTATCCTCATGTGTTTTCATATAATAAATAGTGTATAATTAAAGACAGCTCCAAAATTTTTATAAATTGTTCCAAACAATCACACATGTGCGCCCATCGGATCGATCGAAGAATTTTATGCTTCTTCTTTTCAATTTGGCTTTAAAACGGTTTTTAAACGACACAACCAGGGTTGCCACTGACGAAAAAAAAAACTTACCATCCACTTAAAAAAATCTACCAAATCTGGAAAATATCTACCAAAATTTTTGTTTTGGTATTTTAATAAAAACTAGTTTTTTATTTTTTTTTTAGTTATTTCAATATGAATTAAAATTGTTTTTAAGGAACTTTTTATTTAAGTAGTTATACGGCATTTGAGATCATATTAACGGCGTATTCTGAGTTTCCTTTAACCAAAAGCGAAAGTGATGAAACTAAAGGCAACAACGAAACTTCATCATTTGAAAAAACTTGAACTGTCGTGTAAATTTCGAACTTTTTACTCTGAATCTTTAGAACAATTAATGATGGAATTTTATTTGATTATAAACAACAATGTGCAACTAAAAATACCCGTTGATTTTTTTTTAATTTTTTTGCCGCCAGTCTTTTGTGGTTTTTATCATTTAACTATTGCCATTGATAAAAATGGCGTTGATTAATTTTTTTTTGCGAACAACCATAGCACGTAATTACATAATACTATAATAATAATCATTTAAAATATTTATGCAATTAAAAGCTCCTCGGGATTCCACTAAAATGACTTTTTAATGGAGCACGATATGTTCGCCTTATATCGATAAATATTTATACGTATGAATATAAAAAGCATTCGAAAATTAATGCAATAAAGTACACTACATTTTGGAGAGAAATTTATAATATAAAGATAACTATGAAAAATAAAGCGAGAACGAAAAGTTCAACAAAAATCTACCAAAATGAGAAAAAATTTACCTTTTTACCAACCCAAATTTTTTCTACCAATTTTGGTAACAACTAACCAAAGTGGCAACCCTGGACACAACGTTGAAGAAGGGTTCAACAGCCCAACGTTGGTACTTTGCTATGATAGGCGCCTGCAACACGTGCAATATATATTGTGATATTTAGATCGTGATCCATATTGACGACTTTCAACATACTGATGAATTATGAACTATGGGAATAAAGCAACAGAGAAAAAGAAATTATTAGATATTGAGCCAATTTACACGACGACTTTTCACCCTGCGTTTTTTGCACGTTCCCTTTTAAAAGTCTTCAAAAATCCTTGTGTATTTACACGATGACTTTTTCTTTGCGGCGTTTCTTGTGTTTTTTTTGACATTTCAGCGTCAAATTTTCTTTGGTTAACTTTTTCGTCCTCATTTTTAAAGCGGAGGGAATCGCGAACTCAAAGCAGAAATACGAAAAAGTGAACTCGATAAAACCGAAACGTTAAAAAAAAACCCTCGATTTCGCTCACCGTGCGTGCTTGCCTACCCACCACCCAGGGTGAAAAGTCATTGTGTAAATTGGCTCATTATCTAGTAACAACTTTTGGTGCTTTTTTTTGTGTGTTTGGAGCAACAGCTATTTTCGCCATTAATAAACCTTAGGTAATGCAGCGTTTTTGCTGCATTTAAAATGCAACATTTAGCACTTTCGAACATATGTTTTCGAAGAGCGTTCATGCTATAGCATTTAGCAAATGTACATTTACGCGAGTTCGAAATCGTATGCTTTTGACAAACAGCCGTGTTCCAGTCTCTTATTTAGATGCGTATATATTACGATCAATTCTCACGCAGAAGATAATGTGCAAAAACCCTACTGAAAAGGAAAAAATAAATTTTAAACCAAAAATTCAATACAAAAACTTGAATTGTTTTAACCATAAACGAACATTTGTTTGTGTATATATTTATTTGTCGGTGCATTCAATTAAAATTTCCTCACTTAATTAGGAAACAAACCAAACAGAGTTGATCACAAATTGATCCAGATTTCTATCAGTATCAAATCGATGTTGAATTTGCTTAACTTTTCTTTATCCAAATATGTAATGCAAAATAAAAGAAATCTCGATCGGCGATCACTGAAACGCAGCTAGCAACTGTATACTCGAAAAAGCAATGTTGCCACTTTTTCTCTTTAAACCATGTTCGAATCGTGGAAATTTTGGAAGATCACAGGGTTGCTTTTAGCATTTAGATTCTTAATGCAAAAATGTAGTTGCATTTAGTTGCATTTAGGTGACGAATTTTGTATGGATAAATGTACATTTAGAGTAGCATTTAGAGCTAAATGCGCTAAATGTGCTTTTACGCGTAAGCAAAAACAGCCTATAAGCAAAAACAGCCTATAATACTATGTCTCCATTGAGAGACTTATCCATTAAGATTTAATAAATCCAGTTACTAAATCACAACCGTCTCCATTACCACAACGAGATATGTTTGACGTTCACATCTTCAAATATTTGACGTTTGCTTATGTTCATTTTATAAATACAGTTGCGGACATTGATATACAGACAGATAAAAGGAAGGTACCAAGCGGAATTTCATTATATGAATTCTGAATATTATTGGCTTCTTATTCGTGGTAAATATGTATGTATAATATATAGTTTGGAAAGTGTAACGAATGGTACCATATTCCGAATCATTTTCCGGAATTTAAGAAAAATGATTAAAACGGTAAAAAAACATTTGCTGAAAGAAAAAATTTTGTAGAACTCTCTTATTCATAGGAGGGAACCGAAAATCCAATCGTGGGCCTTTGGCATATCATGAATACGAACTAAGTTCTAGAGGATGTTCGGTGCAATGTTATCGAAGCAGAACCATTACCGAAATTTATAAATTTTTTGTCGCAGCGCGTAAATGACTTATAGAAGGCGGAGAAGACTCTGCATGATATTACTATACAACATTTCTTCTAAATTTTTAGTTTTTAAAATAATATTTTCTTAATTTATTACAACCAAAGTTATGTAAATATCATATATGTAATACTTCTATATTGGCAGTATCTACAAGTGCAGTCAGCAAACATTACAGTACAGATATATAAAAAAAGAAAAAGAAAACCGAGTAATCGCATTTAAGAAATGACACTTGAATTCAAAATAAATCGCAGAGGCGGAACGTTAAAAAAAATTTCAGAAAATTTTGTGTTTTCATTAAATTTTAAGAATTTTTCAATAAGTTAAACTGCAAAAATGTCGCACAGCTGCTTTTTATGTGAAAAAAGAAGAGATAAATTAAATAATATAGCTTTACATGGGTGCGTTGCAAAAGTTTCTATCAAAAACATCTTTAACAGCTTTGTTTTATACAGATTTCCAAAAGACGTAACCGTTTGCAAACAATGGATGCAGGCATGCGGCCTGATGCCCAACGAAGTTGTTAAAAATGTCCGAATCTGCAGCAACCATTTCAAACCAAACGATTACAAGACAAAGAACAATGAGGTTGGCAGAAAATGTTTGAACAGAAATGCGATTCCTTCGATGCATGCTACAATTGCAAGCATACAAAACGTGCCGGCCACTGGTAAATTTAAAGAATTGTTCTGCTACAGCTATACATATTCATTTCAACAATTTTTTTAGAAGGGCGAGAAAGTAAAAGTTCCGACATTACAGAAACCTCGCCTGTAAACAGAAGGCGCTTTGCTGAACCTCGTTTTGTTTCAGAAATTCGTACTCCTGACGTTTCCACCCCAAAACGTGCCAGCCGCTTTATATCGTTCGTTAAACGGTCTTTCGATAAAAAAATTAAAATAATCAAAACGCTTCGTAACAAAAAAAATTATTTAAAAAAACGAGTTACTTGTCTGGGAGAATTGCTTGGACATTTGCGAGAAAAAAACTTAATAGATGCGGAAACGGAAGAAATGATGGTAAGCTTATTTTAAGTGTTACATAAAATATACAGGGTTTCCTAGACCACCTGTCCACCGCCTCTGAAATGGAGGGGAATGGTTTTGATTGAAAACCGAAAAAATTTGACCTCCTAAATCAGGGACGAGGTGAAGTTCGAAAGTCATTTAGAGGTTGAAAAAGGCACTTCCGAGAAAAAATATTCAAACGAAAGTTACGTATTTTTAAGCTTAGAATCCGAATCTGTAGTAAAATCATGTATGTCTAATTTGAAAAAATGAACTTCCGGTCGAAACCGGAAGTCGGTAATACCACGAACAGATAGAGCATTCCCCTCCATTTCAGAAGGGGTGGACGGATGGTCTAGGACACCCTGTATAACTAATATTTTCACTTGTTCAATACATATATGTACATATGTACTTGTAGGATTTATTTCCCGAAAATGTAAAAGCGATGGTGGCACGAAAGTTAAAAGGATCGAAATGGTACACGAAGGAAATAAGAAGTTTTTCTCTTACGCTTCATTTCTACTCGCCAAAAGCATATCGGTATATTCGCGAAACGTGGAGGAATATGCTACCACACCCTTCAACGCTTCGCAAATGGTATCAAAATATTAATGGCTCTCCGGGATTCACACAACAAGCACTGGATGCTATCGCTCTGCGCGCGAAAGGACCAAAGCCAGTAATAGTAAATCTCGTATTTGATGAGATGGCTATTAGAGAGCAAAAAATATACAACCGGAAAGGCTTTGAAGGATGTGTAGACTTAGGTACGATGGACTGCCATACAGAGTGTGGCTCGGCTGCTGTGGCGAATAACGCGCTTGTAATATAGGCAGTCTCCTTAAACAAGCATTGGAAAGTTCCAATCGGCTATTTTTTGATCCGGTCACTACGTGGTGAAGAACGTGCTAATTTGCTGAAGGAATCTTTATATATGTTAAACAGCGTTGGTGCGAATGTTTACTCAATTACATTTGACGGTGCAACCACAAATTTATCTATGTGTAAATGCTTAGGAGTAAACTTCAACTACGGTCCATCATTTAAACCATATTTTGTTAATCCAGCAACTAAAGAATTGTGCTACATTTTCATTGACTTCTGTCATATGATAAAGTTGGTGAGAAATTGTTTTGGTGATATGCAATTACTAAAAACCAATTCGAATGAAACTATACGTTGGCAATATTTGTCTGACTTATATGCACTACAGGTCGGCAAAAAATCCTCCGGCTGAACCCTCCACGAGGGTGCTGACTGGTAATGGGCACTACAGAGGATTCTGTGCGATGTCAGAATGGTGCTCAGCTAAGATCAGGAATCAGTGCTATGTGCTAAACTCCTTAATAGCGTAGTCATATGGAAATGGTTTCTGATCGTGGCTTGGAGGTCTGAAGGGGCTGGATCAAGGCGTCACGCGCACCGTACCGAGGATCGGCCAGGCTGGGGGCCCCTAAATAGCCCAGTCGCGAACGGAGCCCTCTGGGAGGCGGCCACACCCAGGATGTAAGTAGGCCTTACCTGGGCATCGCGGATCTCTGCCCGGGTGGACGAACCCCTTTCTCCGCAGCCCGTGGGATCTATTATGGAAAAGAAACAATTAACAACAACAACAACAAAAACAGCAACAACAACATCAAAAACAATGTTTAAAGGGACCGGCCCCCTTAAAGCGTCGGAAGGGTCTCGGCCCACTAAACAAGGAGCTCAAGCGATGCAGAGTACCTCCACCAGCCGTAGTGCGGTGACAAATAGCGGGAAACCAAGGCCAATGGTGAAACCGGGCCAAGCTCTCGCAAAAACGATGGAAAGTGGCGGTGGGGCTGCTCAAAGGAGTCCACCCCGGGAAACTCCTGGCACCAGTGGACGCCAACCTGGCATGCAGATTGCAGCCGGGGATAAGGCTGAATCTGGGGCGCAGGCCCCGGGCGGTCCTCCCGCGACACCCACGGCCTTCACGAGGCCTGACCAGAGGCCAGAACCAGCTGCAGCGGGCTATCGGCAGAGGAAGCTAGCTGCTCGAATCCTGCAAAGGTTCACCGCAACGCCTGACCTGTGTAGCAAGGCGAAAGAAGAGCATGTGAAGGAGATCCTCACAGAAATCGACTGGGCAAAGGCAGTCCTGCCCGACTACCGCAAGCCGGAGGAGAAGCAGCCGCAGGCGCCCTCCAGTAAGCGCAATAGATCGGGGGAAAATACGCCCAACCAATACGCAAAGAGGGTCAGAACGCAGGGGCCTTCTTTTGCTGAAGTAGCCAAGGAGCAGATCCTGCTCGGCGTCATCGATGAGAGCAATGAAGACAGCCTCACCCTGAGGCAGCAATGGAAGTGGGTTAAGGCCGCGATGGCCGACATTGCTATCAACATTATGTTGGAGAATCCGGGACCTCCGCCAACCTGCAAGGGAGCGGGGTGGTTCCAAAATAACATCCGCGTTATAGCATGCGAGGATGCCAGATCAGCGGAGATCTACAAGAAAACAGTTGCAGGTATTGGAGAAGTCTACCCTGGTGCGAAGCTCAGGGCGGTCGACTTCAAGGACCTACCGGTGCGACCGAGAGCGAGAGCATGGTTGCCTTGCAAGCCAGCGGAGCCAGAAAGGATCCTCCAAACCATAAGGCTCTATAATCCGGAGCTACCTACCGATAGTTGGAAGGTGGTCAAAATCAACGAAAGCGGTAAAGCGACGATGCAGGTTGTCCTGCTTCTAAATAAGGACTCCATAGAGTTGTTGGAGCAAAAGAGCGGGGTCATACGTTACGGCTGTGACATGGCCAAAATTAAGGTCTACAGCAACGACGTAAACGCAGCGAGGAACCTGATCGCGGAGGTAGAGCCGGAAGAGGCCAACAGCGACGTGGAGATGGAGGAAGAATCCGAGCAGGTTGATCCGATGGACGACCTGACCGGGGGTTATGCCTCATCGACGTCTTCGCTGGGGGTCGGACGCATGCTTCGGCTTTATACGGAGGAGGAGTTGATCGAGATGTCGGAAGACGCGGTCAACTCCACCCTAATAGGCGACGTGGGCGATAACGGCCAAGATGGTGAAGGTACTGCAGATTAACCTTCACCACTGTAAAGCAGCTTCAGCTGCACTGCTGCTCCGTCTAACAGCTAAAGGGGCAGCCGACATCGTCCTAATCCAAGAACCTTGGGTGGTGGGACAAAACATTTGTGGGCTGAAAGCGCCGGGCTACAGACTGGTAAGTGGAGCCTCAACGGGGAAACCAAGGACGTGCATATTGATAAGTATCACACTAAAGTGTCTCTTTCTTCCACAATTTAGCGACGAGGACACAACAGCGGTCAGTCTAAGTGCAAACGGACGACCAATTAGGATGGCATCCATGTACCTAGCGCATGACAAGGAGGTGCCAACTACCTGCATTAAAGACCTAGTGGCCAGCACGAGAGAGGCGCTAATTTTGGGAGGTGACGCGAATGCCCACCATCACACCTGGGGCAGCTCCGATGATAACGAACGGGGTGAGTCACTTTTTGATTTCATACTTAGTTCTAAGCTTGTTATTGCGAATAGGGGGAATGATCCCACTTTTATTACAAAATCCCGAAGGGAAGTTCTGGACGTTACCCTTATCTCTGCGAATGCGGAATGTCTGGTCGGGAAGTGGAAGGTGCTTGAGGAGCACTCCTTTTCCGACCACCGATATATCCAATTCGAGGTATTAGGGGAAACGCCCAAGGCTCCTCTAACTAGAAACTTGCGAAATGCCAACTGGCATAGGTATCGGAAAGAGCTGGATAGGCTTTTGCCACAAGATAGAGAGCCGGCTACTCCAGCAAACCTAGAGGAGCTGGAATATCTTGTCGACCATTTTACGGGGGCCTGCAGAAAGGCAATAGACATTGCATGCCCCAAAAAGCAGCACCGGGGTAGGAAAAAGCCACCCTGGTGGAATGAAGAAATCAGGATTTCACGCAAGAACTGCAGGAAAACCTTCAATCAGGCTACTGCGTCTGGTAGTGAGGGACATTGGGAGACCTACAAGACAGCGTTACGGGAGTACAAGAAGCTCCTAAGAAGGTCGAAAAGAACCTCATGGAAAGACTTCTGCAATGGGGTGGAGTCTATCTCAGAGGCAGGCAGGCTCAGAAAGATACTCTCAGGTACTGCCCAGAAAGCCCCAGGATGCTTGCAAAGACCTGACGGCTCCTGGACAGAGACCGAGGAGGAATCACTGGATCTGCTTCTTTGCACACACTTCCCGGGTGCCACGGATAGCATGCCGGTACAGCCACATCTAACTGGAGATCTTTCGGTCACTGGAGATTTCCTCACTAGGGAAAAGGTCATCTGGTCTATTGGGACATTTAAGCCCTATAAATCAGCAGGTCCGGATGGCATTGCCCCCATACAGCTGCAGCAAACACTTCAGCTAAGCTCAGCGTGGCTACACGCTATAATTAGGGGAGTATTAGCTCTTAACCATATCCCTAGAAAGTGGAGGGAATCAGGAGTGGTGTTCATCCCCAAGGCAGGGAAGGTGTCTCACAATAACCCAAAGGATTTCAGGCCCATCACCTTGTCGTCATTTCAACTGAAGGTTATGGAGAGACTGGTGGAGGTCCGTATCAGAGAGTCGGTTGGTGACAGACTCTCTACCACACAACATGCTTATACGAAAGGTAGATCTACAGAAACGGCGCTACATGAAATAGTGTCGTATATAGAGAGATCACTAGACATCAAAGAATATACGCTAGCAGCCTTCCTGGATATAGAGGGCGCCTTTAACAACATCATGCCGGGCGCGATAACGGCAGCACTGGCGGGCCTGGGCATCGACTCGCGCTTAGTTGCGCTCGTAAACCAAATGCTGCGATGCAGGGTGGTCCGGGCGGAGCTGGCGGGGGTATCGTTGACCAGGTTCGTAGAGAGGGGCACCCCGCAAGGGGGAGTCCTATCCCCTCTTTTATGGGTCGCAGCGCTAAACTCACTGCTGTGTGGCATGGAGGGGGGTGGCTGTAAGGTTATTGCGTATGCGGATGATCTTGCACTAACAGTAAGTGGGAAATTTCCACAGACTCTATGTGACATTATGCAGGTAAAACTGAAGGAAGTCGAGAGTTGGACAAAAAATAACGGGCTAGGGGTAAACCCAAGCAAGACAGAACTTGTACTGTTCACAAGAAGGTACAAAATCCCCCCATTGATAACACCAAGGCTGGCACAGACCACACTAAAATTAAGCGAATCCGCTAAATACCTGGGGATAGTCCTAGATAGAAAATTAAGCTGGATTCAAAACACCGAAGAGCGGGTGCGGAAGGCCACGGTTGCCCTATACAGCTGCAGGAGAGCAATCGGCCAAAAATGGGGTTTAACCCCGAAGCTAGTGCACTGGATATACACCGTCGTGGTGAGGCCCATACTTCTGTACGGGGTAGTGGTATGGTGGCCAGTGCTGGAGAAGAAAGTAAACATTATTAAATTACAAAAAGTGGAGAGAACGGCCCTGATCTGCATTAGTGGTGCTCTCCGCACAACACCTACTATGGCAATGAACACGATCCTCAACATCATACCCATAGATATCATGGGACGACAATACGCTGCGTTTGCAGCCCTAAGACTACAGGGGCTTAAAAGCTGGAAAGTGGCTCGCTGTGGTCACACTACAATTCTGAGAAACCGACAACTACCGAGTACAAAGGACTACTGTGTACCAAGGCTCACTTTCACTAAAGGTTATAGCGTAATGCTACCTAGCAGGGAATCATGGCTCGAAGGAGTTCCGGGGTCTAAAGATGCCATAAGATTCTACACGGACGGCTCCAAACTAGAAAATAGGGTAGGAGGAGGCGTCTACTCGGAGAAATTGGGAATAAAAAGATCATTCCGACTACCTGACCACTGTAGTGTCTTTCAAGCCGAATTGGCAGCCATACAAGAAGCCGTTGACAGCCTAAAACTAGCTGTTATCGCCACTACGGAAATATATATATACTCAGACAGCCAGGCGGCCCTTATGGCGCTTGACTCTGTCACTGTAAATTCGGAAACAGTTGCCAACTGCCGCAAATCACTTAACGTGATGGCAGAGCAGTTCGCTTTGCACCTGGTATGGGTACCGGGGCACAGTGACATACCAGGAAATGAGAAGGCAGACGAGCTTGCAAGGGCGGGTACTTCCTCTCCACTTTCACCAGCCTGGAAGAGGGTGGGTATGCCACTCGCTTCCTGCAAGCTCTTACTAAGGGAGAACTTCCTTGAAGAAGCGGCCTCCAGATGGGAGCGCACTGAAAACTGTAATACAACGAAGCTTACATGGCCAAAATGGGATGTACGGAGATCGAGAGAAATTCTCACTCTCAATAAAGGCGATATGTCACTGGCCATTGGTCTGCTCACAGGACATATTTTGATAGGAAGGCACGCAGAACGCCTCGGGGTTAGTCACAACGACTACTGCAGGAGCTGCCATGACGAAGAAGAGCCTGAATCAATAAGGCACTTACTCTGCGATTGCCCAGCACTGGGCAGGAAAAGACAGAAATTCCTAGGTATAGGTCTTCTAGACGATCTAAGCGCGACTGCTAAGTTTGGAATACGGCAGTTGCTAAGGTTTGCAGACTCCACAAACTGGTTTAAGGAATAGGGGTTTTCTTTGGATCCATGTGGTATCACAATGGGCCCTGATCGGGCCTAAGTGTGCTGGCGCCCTCTGGGCCTAGCAGCCACTTCAACCTAACCTAACCTAACCTAACCTATATGCACTACAAACAAGCGAGGGACTGCGTTTATCCACAAAATTAACCAAAAAGCATATATACTATAAAAACAGCATTATGAACGTAAAACTCGCCGTTCAAACGTTAAGTAAAAGTGTTGCTGACTCTTTAATATTTTTAGAACGTAAAATAAAAGACCGAACAATTAACGACCGATTTCGAGATAGTTCTGCTACCGCTAAGTTTTGTTTAAATTTCAATA